TTGATTTGGAATAGTATGCAGAGACTTCTCCGTGTCACAAAATCTGCAAAAAAGAACTGCACAGCAATCCCAGTGGAGATTAATGGGATTGTGGGGAAACAAGAAAACCCAGTCCCTTTTTGTTTCGGAGCTCATTAACCTCAGATATACTTCACAGAAACATCCATCCATCCATCCATCCATTATCTTTACCCGTTTGTTCCATTTTGGGTCACGGGGGTCGCTGGTGCCCATGTCCAGCAATCACTGTGCGAGGGGCGGGGTACACCCTGGACGGGTCGCAAGTCCATCGCAGGGACACATAGAGACAAACAACCATTCACTCTCTCATTCACACCTAGGGACAATTTAGACTTACCAATCAGCCTAACATGCATGTTTTTGGTCTGTGGGAGGAAACCGGAGTACCCGGAGAAAACCCACGCATGCACGGAGAGAACATGCAAACTCCACCCAGAAAGGCCCTGGACCGGGGTTTGAACCAGGGACCTGCTCGCTGAGAGGCAGCAGCTCTACCAGTTGCGCCACCGTGCTGCCCTCACAGAAACATCATTCATTTTTATTTTTCCTATACAGTATTCCCACGAACCACATAAACTGCTGGTGCTTCACTTAACCTTTGAATTTAGTTTCAACCATGAGAAAATGTGTTCACGCTGTTACCTTCTTGGGTTTTTTGCTGAGGTCGTCAAACCTTCTGCCACAAAGCCAGCTGACTCGGAGCCTGCATAGCCTCAAATTGAATCACCGTCTGATTAAGTCCCTTCTTTACACAGTTAACTGGAAGTTTCTTTGTTCGGTGCCCCCGCACTCCTGACCCCGACTGCGGCTGACCAGAGAGGAAATGCAAGAAGTGCCCGCGTGTTTTTTTTTTTCTATCGGTCTGAGAAGATGTTGGAACAGCAGCATCACAAGGCTGCTTTTCACTTGGCCTTGAACATCTCTGTGTGACTGACAGTAGCTCGCATGCTTTACATAAGCGTGGAAGAACTGCTCCCAACCCGTCTGAAGGGTTCCTTTTCCTATAGAAGCACGAACACCCCCCATATACCGATTTGTACCGCACCCCCAATTAAACAAGTGAGCTTGATGAGTTTCAAGATTTGAACATTAAAAAAAAAAGATGCAAACCCTTCATCTCCATGAACAACTGAGGCAACGTGGCCAGTTTGAAATGAACCAAGTGACTCAGCCTTTGACAGAAAGACGAGGGCTTGAAAAGAAAGAGGCAGAAATCTCTGTAATTGGAGTGGATTGACAGCGAGATGCATGGCTCCCTCCAGACCATTAGAGAGGCCCGGGTGGAGAGGGTTTGTTCCCAGGAGGAGAAGGCTTGTCTTATGCTCAGCCATGGGGAAGAATCTGGCAGGAACGCTGATGAGCGGAGAAGAGCCAGGGGACGAGATGGGCTCTATTGTCCAAGAGAGACAACCTGAGACGCTGAGGATAAAAGATGGAGGTTCTTGCATTCATTCAACATTTATTTAAACAGGTTAGTCTCATTGAGCCATAAGGACTCATTTACAAGAGAGACCTGTTTCAGATAAAACCACAGATAAGGTACATGCAACAATGAACAACCATAAAATGCATATAGAAAGAAAAGCAAATAAAAGTATTGAGAGTGCACGCTGTAGCTGCACTGACGACGTGACATGTACGAGGAGATATATGAAGGCAGCAGACCGAAGAGCGATATAAAAATGAAAATAATAATGTGTTGTCATCATTGTTTGTTCCCATACAATGGTGAAATTGGCTCTCTGCATTTAACCCATCCACCCACAGGTGGAGCAGTGGGCAGCTACTGAAGGCGCCCGGGGAGCAATTGGGGATGGGGTGTGCTGCTCAGAGACACCACGAGATGTGCAATGACTGGGGATCAAACCTGGGACTTTAGTGTCCCGAGTCAGCTGCCCTGCCTCTACACCATCTCGGCCCCCGTACCAGTATGAGTCTACATGAAGTTAATTATGACCAGTTAACCAGTGAATACTGGGTGCAATGGTGGGTACGGTAGTCACAGCCAGTTACGAACCTTAGCGCATCATGATAGACAGCATCCAACCTCTGCAAGGAGCTTATAGGAGCATTCATATAAATAATGTCACTGTAATCAATGGCCGGTAGGAAAGAATCACCTACAAGGTGTTTCCTGGCATTCAGAGTTAAACCAGATCTATTTCTGAAACAGAAATCCAATAATAATTTCAGTTCCTTTACCAAGTTTTCAACATCCAGCTTAAAAGAGAGATGTGCATCGACCAAGATTCCCAAATATTTCGAAGAACCCACAAACTCAATAGGGACACCATTCATAGATAACGTAGGAGGAAGGACTTCTGGTACCAACTTCCTGTTTGAAAACAACATCCCTTTGGTTTTATCAGCATTTAACACCAGTTTGAGACGGAACAAGTCAGACTGAATGATGTCAAATGCAGACTGTAGAAGCTGGTGAAACTTAGCAACTGTTTTAGCTCGACAGTAAACTACTGTGTCGTCGGCATAGAAATGTAAAGATGCGTCAGGAATGACCTGCATTGCTTATGTATATTATAAAGAGAGTCTGTCCTAAGACTGAGCCTTGTGGTACACCATTATTGACAGTTAAATAACTGGAAGTGGTGTCGATTCTTGGGGATTAAGGACATCCTACTGGCTTAAAATCAAAGCAGCTGGTCTTTTCAGTAGCTGAAGTTTCGCTTCAAATTCAGTTTTTGATTTAAAACGGGAAAAGGTAAAGTTCTGAGTGTTAAACTGCGTGGGAGGATTTGTGTATGCAGCTAAATTCATCTGCAGATTAGTTTAGCTCCTGGGGGTCATCAGGGTCTTTGTTGACTTGGCTCACAAGAGAGATGTTTGGGTCACCTGCATGAAGGTGTACATTTGGAATGAAAATCTCTGAAAGCATCTCTCCCGTAAACCCAGCAGACAAGGGCCCAAATGACCGTCAGGTGGAAGGGGAGCGAGATTAATCTGCATAAGTTTAGCTGCATGAACAGAGCACCTTTTGCTGTTTAGAGCTTGGAATGCCACTTTTGAATTGTTGAAGCTCCCCAGTTGGGAAGCAGAGTGCCCAGTTCTGGTCCCCGAGGGCCACTATCCTGCATATTTTAGTTGTTTCCTGCTCTTGAGCAGGTCTTCAAGTTCTTCAGAACCCAGTTAATTGTTCATTTATTCAAATCAGGCGTGTCAAAGCAGAGAAACATCTAAAACATGCAAGAGAGGGGGGCCCTCGAGGACCAGGACTGGGCTTTGATTTGAAACTTTTAGAATAGAAGATGGAGAAGAAGACAAGACAGGATGACACCGGAGGACCCGGGAAGGGGGAAGGAAGACGCTCTAAAGTTGTAAGAGGAAAAAGGAGTCAGGAAGTAAAAGAGAAAGAAGGGAAGAGAAAAAGTGAGGAGAGTGGAAACGTGGTGGGAGGGACGGCTGTGTCGGGAGGACTGGATAAGGAGGGGAGGAAGAAAACAGGAAGAGAGTTATAATGCTGCTGTCGTCTCTGTTTCCTGTGTCCCTCGAGTGAGTTCTCCTGATTGGTTCGTTGGGGGGCTGGGGGGGAAGTTTATATCACGGCTCATTCTTCTGGAAAGAGACAGTCGCGTATCGGAGGATGCTGCTCTGATAAGGAGGGAGCAGAGGAGGACATGAGCAAAGTCTGCAGCAGGTTGCAACATGTTGCTCCTGGAGAGAAACTCTTCATACAAATCACTCGATTAAGAAAAATCAGACTCTACTATCGTTTTTATTCCTTCTTAGACATTTATTTCATTTTGCTGCTGGTTTATTTTATTCTAGCTGATGTTCTCGTATGAATGAAGCAAACTGTTCAGGAAAATTACTTGACGCACGAGCCCTGCTCCTCAATTAATGTTTTTTTATCCGCTCACCTCCCTTTTCTCAGTCAGACCTTGTTGCTTGTACTCTGCGTGTTTGCGTGCACGTTTGCATGTCTGCTGTTACTTTTAGGCAAAAACAATAATCCCCGACTATTTCTGCCACACACTTTGCAACATTCACGCTCCAACACAGACACTGCTGCTCCGAGCAAACGCTCTCTTAAAAAAAACACAGTTAAATAGTCAATAAATGTAGCTGAGGTGCAACAGGATTTACTTTAGGAGCTCTTGTAAAATGTTTCTGTTTCTAATGTTTTTATAGGAAGTTACCAATCTGTTGAGTCTTGTGCTAGTTTTAGACTAAGATCATGTTGTGTCAAGAAATGATGATGTTAAAGCTGTTTTGGTCAAAAACTTATGCACAACCACACGGTGGAGTTTACACTCAAAGTTGTAAGTGACTCCCAGCTACTACCACACCAGACTTCAGCTCATTATCTGTAAAATTGACTGAATTTTCATCGTTTTTGTGTTTTTGAAGGTCAGTTGGTTTTGGCAGCCATTTTGAATTGAGTCAACTCCAAAGGTTAATCAATCGTAGCTGTTCATCTATAGATTAATTTCTGGAAGATTCATTAACATCAGCCCAGTGGTTCATGAGATATTTTGCTAACAGACGAACACAGTCGTCTGCAATAGTTTGTGATGACGTTTTAAAGGAGGCTCTTGTGCGATCTGTTAGTGCTTAGATTATGTGTTGGGCACCAGTCTCAGCTACTACCACACCAGACTTCAGCTCATTATGTGTAAAACTGACGGAGTCGTAGCGATTTTTCTGTTTTAAATTCCATTAGCTGTGGCAGCCATCTTGAATTGGATCAACTGAAAACATTTTTTTTTTTCCTGTAGATGTACGTTTAATGATTATTTCTGAGAACTTCACAAAAATTCTTCTTGTGGTTCACGAGATATTTTGCAAACCGACTAATTATTACCTGATTATTGTTTTATTGTATTTTATATACTTGTGAAATTTCCTTTGTTGAAATTAAAATGCAGATTTTTTTATTTTTTGCTGCAGTTTTTAAAGGCTCGGCCTGAGAACCTTTTGTTTTCTGATTCTCGTTGACCTCGTGTTTTCCCTTCCTGTTTCAGGTCGGCGATAAGGTGATGGCGTTGAGCCGCTTTGGGATGTGGCAGGAGGTGGCCGTGGTTCCAGCCGGCCACACCTTCCTCATCCCCGAGGGGATGAGTTTTGAGGAGGCGGCAGCGTTCCCCGTCAACTACATCACCGCCTACATGATGCTGTTTGACTTCGGCAACCTTCGGCCCAGCCAGAGCGTCCTGATCCACGCCGCTGCAGGTACGCCGCACGCACACACCTGTTTTAATGAGGTTTGTTTTCTAAACAAAAAAATTATTATTGTGAGCCATTTTTCTTCCGTACGTTCTTCTGCATCTTTCTCGTTCCACAATTTTTGTGCTTTGTCAACAAATCATAAATCAATACATTCAGCTCTTTCAGGACAATCCTGCTAGGATGTTTGGTATTGGTGCAGCTTTAGCTGTTTGAAATATTTAGCCTTTTCTGCTACTTTTTTCCTCATAGAAAAATAATTGAGCTCATTTTACATCCTTTAAATCTTTAGATCTCTGCTCTTTTCACATTTTTTCCATTTCAGCTTCTTTGTGCAAATTTAAACATTTTTCAGCTGTGTTCAGCTGATTTCAGCTGTTTTTCACCCATTTTGTGCTCCTTTCAGATTATTTCTGCTAACTACATTTTTGCACTTCTTCTAACTTATTTCTGCTAATTTCAGCTTGTTTTGCTCCTTTCAGCTGATTTCTGCTAGTTTCAGCTTTATCTGCTATTTCAGCTACTTTTTAGCTGTTATGCTAATTTTAGCTTTTTTTTCAGCCAATTCCACATTTTTTGCATTCATTTAAACTTTTTTCAGCCTAATTCAGTAAAAATATGCTCTCTCCACTTCGCTCTTGTAATTTCAGCTTTTTTATGAATTTTTAGCTACTTTAAAAAAAAAGTAGCTAATTTCAGCTTTTTTCCAATATTTCCACTGTTTGTTCTCATTTCTGCTTATTTCAGCCTAAATGGGCAAAAATGTGTTCTTTCTGCTAATTTAATCTTGTTTTACCCTTTTCAGCTACCTTTTAGCATTTTTTAGATAATTTCTAATAAATTGAAGTTTTCCTTGGTAATTTCTGCTACTTCCCACCTAATTAACTTCTTTATGCTCATTTCAGCTTTTCTTCTGCTACTATCAGCTTTTTCTGCTATTTCAGCTACTATTTAGCTGTTTTATGCTAATTTTAGCATTTACAGCTAATTCCACATTTTCTTTTATCTCCTTTGAACTATTTCCACTTCCTTCTGGTAGTTTAAACTTCTTTCTGCTTTTACAACTACTTTTTGCTAATTTCAGCATTTTTTTAGCTAATTTCCTAGTGTTTGTGGTCATTTCTGCTTATTTAAACTTAATTCAGAAAATATGTGTTCTTTCTGCTTTCTTCTTCTAAAATAGTCTTGGTCTTCTATTTCAGCTACATTTCAGCTGTTTTTTTTAAGCTAATTTCAGCTGTTTTTCAGCAAATTTTTCTGCAATAAGCTTCACACAGAAATGCAATTTCTCTAGGTAATAATTCATTTTCTGCAGCTTCCGTGTCCCACAGATGTTAAAAAACAACACTGACTACAACTCAGTCACAGATATTGAAGTAGAACTTGTTAACCGGGGTGGTTCCCACCACATACTCTGTTATTTACCAACATTTCTTGATCTTAGTCCAAAACTCTGACATGAAAGGTGGCGGGCGAAACGCAATGTTGGGACTTTTTTGCGTTATGGAAACAACCTTAAATGGTTTTAACGTAAATCTCCTTGTGGAAAAAGTCCCTGTGCTTTGCTCTGCGCTAATGCTGGTCCACCTGCCAGCTGGGCTGTGAGGTCAAAGGTCAGCGTGAGTTGATGGAAGCAAGATGTGGATGAAGGGAGGAGAGGCACCTGCTTTGGGGTGTGAGAGCTGCACATGATTTGTGTTTGCACAGTCAGGCCAGCTGGAGGGAACAGCAGAGCTTCAGCCAAAGATTATCAGTCCCGCTCCCTTCGCCTCTCGGGCACACGTCTCCTGAGCAGGAGGATTTAGAAAAATATTCTTTACATTTGGGACGGTCCGTGGGTGGAAACGGCGCAGAAATGAATGAAATCTGGACTTTTTCTTTTTCACAAAAGTGAGAGCGCTTCCAGGTGCACGTTTTAATTCACATTTATGGAATAAATATTTTTGTAACAAGCTTTAGTTCCCACACAGCAGCGCAACAACTAACAGGTCCATCCTGTTGATGTCACATGAAGAGTTTGGTCAATTAAGACACTTTCCCTGCTGGTTCAGACCAGTAAAGCATTTGCACGCGTCTGTTGTCTGAACCGGAGGAACAGATCGAATCAAAAACTTCCAGAAACTAATCAGTGGGTTGACATCTACAACTGTTTCACTTTTGGAGTCAACCTGATTCAAGATGGCCGCCCCATAAAAGAGCTAAGCATGGCGATCAACCAGCTTTACATACTTGGATGATTGTAGGGCGTTGTGTGATACATTTCCTTAAAACCGCCTGTTTGTTAGAAAAATATCTCATGAACCACTAAATGGATTTCAATGACATTTTCAGAAATAAATTATTGGCTTTCCTTTTATTTAATCCAATTCAAGATGGCTGACACAGCTGTCTGACACAAATCATAAATGGGTGTAACTCAGTGGATCTTGTGTCAATAATTTGTCCTTCTTCACAACACCACCTATGTATGGGGTGCCGTTTGTAGTTTCTAAGCTGTCGGTCTTTGCTCCAGCTGTCCGGACGTCGTCGCTGTATGGGTTGTTTGCGTGTGCAGATCCGTAGCACACGGTTTTCTCTGCAACACGTGTTTGTCTGACATCCGGAGGGTTGTTGTTTGCAGCGGCGGCGGCTCTCCTCACATCCTCCTCCCTCGCCAGCAACACGGGGCGGCCCGCTCAGGAATGGATGCTGAGCGTCTCTGCGTGCGGGGAGGATGTTCCACCCGGGAGTCTGTCGAATCAGTTCCTGATGTTTCCTGATTAGACAGATCAAAGGTATCAGCTGTGACAGGGTCAGAGAGGGAAGAGGGGTTGGGGGGGGGGGGGGTATCTGTCACTCACTGCTTTGAAATAGAAATGATGAAAAGGAAATCGCAGACAGGCTAAAGTTCTTTCTCTTACTTAATGTGGTCCACGATAAAACTACTCATTTTAACTGTATTTTATTAGAATAAACATTAAAATCAAAAATCTAATTAAAGGCCTTGAAAAATACGTTGAGTTTGAAACTAAGACCATCTTATGTTGAGGAGCGACGGCCATTTGCCTCCATCCTTTTATGATGTTGTGAGACCTCGGTTGTGTTGGGTACACCTCTCAGCCACAAACACCAGTTTACAGCTCAATACCAGTAAAATCCACTGAGTTATATCTATTTTGTGTAGGCAAGGGTTAATGGGCTGTGGTGGCCATTTTGAACTGGACTGGCTCCAGAACTAATGGGTGGCAGAACTACATCCAGTCATTCTTCTTCTTTTGGCTTTTCCCTCTTCAGGGTCCAGCGAGTCCTCCTCCTCCATCTCACTCCAACCACCTCCATGTCCTCTCTAACTGCATCCAGATATCTCCTCTTTGTCTTTTTCCTGGCAGCTGCATTTCTAACATCCTTCTACCAATGTACCCACTGTCCTTCCTCTGGACATGTCCAAACCACTGTCCCTCCTCTGGACATGTCCAAACCATCTCAGTCTGGCCTGTTTATCTCCCACTTGTTCAACCTGTGCTGTACCTCTGATGATCTCATTCCTAATCTTCTTCATCCTTGTCACTCCTAAGAAGAACCTCAACATCGTCATTTCTGCCACTTCCAGTTCTGTCTCCTGTCTTTTTGTCCATGTCTCTGTCTCCAGACCATACAACATAGCTGGTCTCACTTTGCTGACACCCTTTTGTCACAAATGACTCCTGAAACTTTTCTCCATCCACTCCATCCTGCCTGGACTCTCTTCTTCACCTCTTTACCACACTCCCCATGTTCCTGGACAGTGGACCCCAAGTCCTTGAAGTCCTGCACCTTTGTGACCTCTGCTCCTTGTAGCCTCACTGTTCCACCTCCTCCCTCTCATTCACACACATGGACTCTGTCTTACTACGGCTGACTTTCATGCCTCTTCTTTCAAGTGCGTACCTCCACCTCTCCAAGTTCTCTTCCACCTGTTCCCTGTTTTCACCACAGATCACGATGTCATCTGCAAACATCATAGTCCACGGGGATTCCTGCCTGACCTCATCTGTTAGTCAGTCCAGCGTCAAACAAGAAGGGGCTCAGAGCGGATCCTTGATGCACTCCCACCTCCACCTTGAAGCTATCTGTCACTCCTACAGCACACATCCAGTCATTACTTTCCATTAAAATCCATTTTGTGGTTTATGAGATATTTTGCTAACAGAAGAGACACATGCCCACACATATTATTAATTAATTATCACAATGACTACGCTCCTGTATATATTAATATATTGCCTTAAGCTGGAGGTGAGAGTGGGCGGAGCCGAGGAACCCAGAGGAACCGATAACGTGAAAACACACAGAACTAAACTAAACACAAGAAGAACCACAAAACAACCACGAACCAAATCATAAAACACAAAGTTTTCAACAGGAAGAGGATTCTTCATTAGATCAACATGTTTTCTCTCTTAACTTACAAATAACTTTATTAAACTCAAAGCTCCGGGGGGAGGGGCAGAAATCTTAAAGTAATTGAAAAGGGCCTAATTGTTTTTCAAAAGCGATCAAATCGGTGGATTAAACTGCAGCCGGAACGAACGGGTCGGCCATCAGACAGAGACGGCATGAGCCCCTCGAGCGTTCGTGAAGAGGAGGGAGTCGGAGTGAACGGCTGCTGCGAGAAGAAAGCTGTTGATGGAGGCCTTCGATGAAAAACACACCGCGTTCAATCCTGATTACTGCTGCACCCAAGGGCCGAACACAATCCACTTCCTGTTCCCTGCACCGCTTTTACCTCTCAGCCAGCAAATCATTTAAACGTGATCTCTTCGTTTTAATTTACCTGATAAAGCAGGACAGCGTTCAGTTGGATATATACATTTAACCGCACTGTTATTTGGGTTCTGAGCTCGTCTTTTGGACAGGAGGGTTGAGCTTTTTCAACATTTGCTTAACTTCTAAAACATAAATGTGAGATGAACGGAGCTGACGTCGTCTTAAAAAGCTTCTGTTTGAAGCAGGAATGTGTGGATTTGTGAAATTAGCAGTGGCGTTCC